AGCGCAGCACAGCCCCACCTTCGGAAAAATAAAAAATAAAATCCTTGCCATGTTTTTGCGTCGCCCGGTTCAGCCGGGCGGACCCCCCCGGGCCCAACCGGCCGGGCGGACCGGGCGCCGGCCCAGCCCAGTAGTGAACTTCATATTGTCTGCATTCTTTCAATTGCATTTTCTTGGCATCTGAGAGAATATTCGCACCACCACTTCACTGGATGTAGCTGACTGCAATAACCGGCATACTGACACTAGGGCCTTCCAAGATGCATCCCACTGGAATTACGGGCAGCCCTGTACTTATATGACCGCAATTCCGTCCAGAGATCAGCGGGAAAAGTCCAAAATGTGACTACACCCTCTGGTTTCTGCTCATGGAAGAAAAAACTATTGCTGTCGGATTGGCCACCTTGGACTGGCCACCTAACGGACCAACTGAAAAATCAGAAGTCCTGTGGTAACTGCAGCAGTAGCAAGTAGTGGATAAACCACCTGAAACTCTTTTCAACTTTCAATAGATCCTTGACTGTTACAGTAGCCCCATACTGGCCTGATTAACAACAGAACGAGCCACTGGGCCTACGACACAGCCACCACACCAACTACAATCCAATTGTGAGGGCTTCGAGTGGAAAGAGGGGGATGGGGCATCTACATAGTAGCCTATATTGTGATACATTATGCAGTGCATATCCACAATCATCCACTCTAGTTAAGGCACTTGACAATCTCACCATTGCCCCTGCTCCTTCTGAATGCGGAGTTGTAGCACCCTTCTCCCTGATCATAAGCAACCATAACAAAAAGCCACGATTGAGACAAATTAAAATAACGACATTCTCACAATTTCTTAGGAATTCCCACATGCCACACATGCATAGCAGTGCTCAATTCTGAAATTGTCAAATGCATCTTAGACCCAATCAATATGTCCGAATTATTTGTTTTGCAATGACCCAGACAAGTGCAGTCTGAGAATTCCACATGTGTCTGAGAAAATGCTGTCTTTTTTATCCTTTTTAAAGTTTTTCTTTCTTTGGAGACATCTAATTTCATCTGTACTCTTTATAAAGGGAAACGCTGGTCTACAGTAAGGCTCCCGCAAGGCCGGTCTCCCAGTGTTGTACAAGGTGCGGGCCCAACTGGCAATGGCAATGGTTGTGTGTCCTTCCCGGTGCAATTTCGAAACCCTGCCCGAAGACAAGGGTTGGTCGCGATGCCCAACCTGGAAAAGGCATATGACCGGGTGAACTGATCATTTGTTCTGGCCACGTTAGAGCACCCGAACTTTGGGGGGTCATTCAGAAGGTGGGTGGCAATGATGTACAGGAGCTTGACCGCCACGGTCATAGTACATGGGAAGACGTCAAGGGAGTTTGCACTTACCCGATCCTTGCGCCAAGGCTGCCGGCTGGCACCCTTACTGTGTCCAACTCAGTACTGGGGGGCACCTGGTGTGCAGCCTGAAACAAGTTGAGGCCCCAGCTACCCTCCCCACCAAACACGAAGGAGGAGGTACTTATACAGCAAATTTTCGAAAACTCTTTCATCATGGACACAGGAGAGCCGGGGCGGGTTGCTTTGCCCTGTAGCCTAGCAGGTGGGGGGTTTCTGGAGTGGGTCGTGCCATTCTGTAACCTAGCAGTTGGGGGTGTGAGGCCTGGTTGAGATTGAGTATCGGGACATTGGGGGGAGGCAGATAGGGTTGGGCTGCTGAAAGCACTAAGGCAGGTGGTTTTTCAGTCTGAATGTTCCTAAGATCCAAGGTTTGGTTGGTTGTTCATGGTTGCCAAGGGGGGTCGTAAGAATGATTTAGGATTCTGGGGACTCCTAGCAACTCATCTTAGACGGCTCCATTGCTGATATACTCATTGATCTGCGGCTGTTCGATGCCAGAACGACGCTGGCCGGTGCTGGGGTGTTGCCCTGTAACCTGCTGATGCAGGAGTGTGAGGCCTGGTAGAGAGATCTGGGGATGCTTTGGGGTGGGCATCCCAAGGGACAACCAAGGGTTGCTGCTGGGACGACGCTGGTCGGAGCTGGGGTGAGTCGTGTTGTCCTGCAACCCAGCAGGGTGGGGGTGTGAGGCCTGGAAGAGCCCGGCAGGGAGTAAGACAGTGCTGGAGAGCTTTAGAAGGGTTACAAGGGATCCACAGGGTTTTGAGCATTTGTAGGACCTCTGTGGTGGCGTGTTTTGTTGTGGCCAGACTTTTTTCTGAAGTTTCTCGTAGTAATTTTCCAAGTCGTTCAAAATTTTCTTAGCCAAAGCTGGGTAATGGCCCCGGTATCTCAAACTTTCAAAATTCTATGTAAATTTCCATATGGGACGCTGGGCCCGGTTTCCAGCACGTGCTGCTCCCCACGAATAGATTGGAGCTTTGTCCTTAAAAAAAAAAAACAAAAAAAAAACAAGGAGCATATTTTCGGCTGCAGGCTCAGTGGGAGCCTTCGGACGAAAGGGGACTGAAAAGGGGATTTCTCGGGTAAAACCGTAAAAGACATATGGGTGGAAGAAAGGAAAGGCTGGAAAACGGAAAGGGAAGCACGTCAGACTCTGGGAAGACTCCAAGAGGTGGAGAATCAGCTCCAGGACCTGATTGAGGCTATCCCACAGGAATGGAAGGTGCTGTTGGGAAAGAGAACTCGAAGACAGCAGGCCTGAGCAGGGGCCTGGTACAAGGAAGGACTGGCAGGTGACAAACCAATGCATATCATAAGATTGGAATAACAGTTGGATGAGGAGACTTGGAATGCTTCACAATGGCAACTGCTAGTCTCAGAAGCAGGGGCTACTCAAGACTTGGAATGCTTCACAATGGAAGCTGCTATTGGCACCTCGGGGAACAGGGGAGGGAATACCTGATGCAGTATGACACGAAGCTGGGAAGAAGACTGCTGAAGCCACCAGAAGGCAGGCTGGAGGACATCTGCGGAAGAGCAACCAGAATGATGAACCTACAAGAGACTCCATTTGTGACTTCTATGCGGTCTCTGTGGGCCTCTTTACCAGGGCTACCTGGCCTGAAATGGGCCAGTCTGTTGTGGCTGATCTCCCACTCGGCACTCCCGTCAACCAGATGGTTGACAGAGGAAGGCATGGACATCCAGCGCAACTGTATCAGGTGTGGAAACAGGCAGGAAGAAACTACTTTCCACCTGATATGGGACTGCCCAGCCTCTAAAAGGATATGGCGTTGGGGCAGATCACTGACAGCACCTGGGTTCAGCACTCATCTGGGATCAGAATTGGGTCCTAACTGGCCAGCTGCCCCATTTTTCTTCAATCACAGTGGGTGGGGCTACATGGCCCAAGCAATCCGCTCGGCCATTACGTGGATCATATGGGAGGACCGGAACAACATGCAGTTTCGGGGGGCAGATTGGGTTCGAAAGGCGGACAGGGGCCGTCAAGAGGAAAACGAAAGCTCTGATCCGAACAATGATCATGACAGATTGGGTTTGAAAGGCGGACAGGGGCCATGTGGTAAGAGGGTGTTCACATGGGCGCGGGCATATCGATTGGCCACAGTTACACTGGAAGGCAAATTAGTCTTATCACCATGGCTGAGCAACTGAGCGAGTAGGGGACAGTGAGAACTCAGAGAAACGGCTAGGCTGACTAGGTTAGTAGTGTGCCGAAACAGTGCGAGAGGGATGGAGCGAGTCAGAGTGAGAAAGAGAGAGGGAAGAGAGAGAGAAAGAGAGAGGGAGAGAGGGAGAGAGGGAGTGTGAGAAAGAGTGCATAAGAAAAGGTAGGCTAGTAGAGAGGTTTGCACAACTGTGCAGAGAGAGAAAGCAGATTTTCTTTTGTAAGGACCTGGTCACTCTGTCCAGGCTAGACCCGCAGGAGGGTCGAGGCCTCTCATTGGAAGTATCTGGGGGCAGGATAGGACAGAGTAGAAGCTGAGCCGTTTTAGGCTCAGGGGGACATGGTAGACCCTGTGTGGAGTCAATTAGGGCAGAGGTAACAATAGCAGGAGTTATAGGGGGGTAGAGAGACTGAGGGGGAACGGTTGGGGGTGGTGAGATTAGTGGGGTTCTTTTTTCCTCATTTTGTGGTCTCTGGTTGGGTTTTCTCCATTTGCTGAGGGTTTGCTCTTTATTTTTCTGGTTTCGGGTCACTTTGGGTCCTGTACAAAGCAAAACTGGGTAAGGCGCCCTGTACTGGACTTTATGTGGGTTGGCCCTGTCTCTTATACACATCTAGATGTGTATAAGAGACATGTTCTTAATGTGCAAGGAATGTGTTCCTTTAAAAAAAAAATAAAAAAAAATCGTTCGGCTTTTTTTTTTTTTTTTTTTTTTTTTTTTTTTGGGACCATTTTTTTATCTAGGCATGTTATCCTTAGGACCTCCATGTACTACTCACAAAATGTGCAAAATGAGAATGAATCTCCACTAGATTCACTAGAACATGGGCGTGTACACCGCCATATTTTTTGTCTTTTGTGCATGTGGTCAATAGTGGAGTGACACCCTTATCGTCCCTTGATTTAGCCGGGACAAGGCCTTGCTCCACTCTTTCTTTTTTTTACCCCTTTTAAAAAAAAGAAAAACGTCTTCAATTCTTGTTGCAAAGAGTGAACTGAGGCCGGGGACCTCGCAATTCAACCCGGGGTTATCCTGGCAGCACTGGCGGAACCCAGGGTTATCCTTATAGCACTGGCGGAACCGGAGGCCAATTCGGCAATTCATACCAGTCACACTTCCAACCATCTATCACCAAGCAAAAGAATTCTGCACTCAAACATATAGCCAGTAGACCCCTTGCTCCACTCTCACCAAATGTGCAAAACGAGAATGAATCTTCGTCTAGAACATGTATCCTAGCAGGGGACTGGAATGCCACCCTCTACCCAGGAATAGACCGTATCTCACGTTCCTCTCACGCTACCAACACACAGGAGGCCCGTCCAATTCAAAAATTGATGATTGACCAAGGGCTAGTCGACCCTTTCAGGACCCTGCATCCAACCGAGAGATCCTTCACCCTAATCCAAAAGAATCATGCGTGTCACACCGCGTTCTCACGAATAGACTACTTCTTAGTGTCGGGCTCTATCATGGGAGCGATGAAAGAGGCGAAAATCCTCCCCCTGGCACCCTACCCAGGTTTGGATCACAAGCCTATAGAACTAACTATGGGGTTCGAACCGCAAGTAAAGAAAGGCGCTGGGTTCCACAAACTGAACAACTCATTACTACTTAGTCAAACTTTCCAAGAAGGAATACACGAATTCTGGCGCGCTAGAAGCAAGAGCTTTCTACCTAATCAGAACCGCTGGGAATGGTTTGTGGAGAGCTACTCCTCACTTGCAAAGACTGCTGCAGAAATGTCAAGGAAACTGGCCTCTATGAGAAAACAGAGGAAACGTAGACTCGAACAAGCACTAAAGATAGCGGAACTCAACTTACGTGATGACCCATCCTCACTGCTTTACACTAATATCTTTGAGAAAGCTCGCGAGGAACTCGCTATGTGGAGATGGTGGGAGCTAAAAGGTTTACAAATAAGAGCTAGAATGTGCGATCACGAACTAAACGAATTGATGACGAAACATTTTTTTGCACGAATTAAGGCGAATACGAGGGCTTCCACAATAAACAAGATGAGAACCCTTTCCAACTCGACAAAAATAGTGGAAAGCAGTGAAGAAATTATGGAAGTCGCCAAAGAATTTTATCAGGAATTATATCACACAAAGACCCGATCTCCAACACCAAATGCCACCGTGGAAGCGAGACAGAGGATGCTACAGTACCTGGAACAAACAATCTCT